CAAACCAGTCCTCTTTCCTCTCTGTCTAGCCATTTTTAGATCAGCTTGGGAGCTTGCCCTGTGCCCCCTGGAAGCTCTCATTACATGAGTAATAGACCTTTTCATACCTTCTCAGGCTTTGTGTGGGGTCATCAATCTTGACATCCAAAGCAAACTTTGGGTGGAATGACCACAACATACTTTCTCCTAAACCTCTGTCAATACCTCAACAGTGGGCTCATCAAAACTAGGCTTTAGAATTATTTGAGCCACCCTGACAGAATTTTTCAATTTCCACTGTAATTTGAGTCTACTAAAAATTGGAAAAGTTTGAAATTCTCTACTGCAAAGGGTATTATCAACTGAGAATTCAGCTATCTTTTCTTTTTATGTTTCACAGTTAACTATTTGTGTATGGACTTTTCATTTGTCAACTCCAGAAAAAACTGGGGGAGAGCCCACACTCATGTAGAGCCACAATTCTTATTTCTTTGCAGCCTGTTTAGCTATGTTGCTGCAGAAAAAACTAAGTTACTATATTGGGCTTCATCATGAAATAAGCTAACATGTTTAAAATTGGAGGAATTCAGAGCTGGGTGTCCCAAACATTCCTAAACAGTTCTGAGATTGGAATCTGAATGACTCAGATGTTCAGGACTGAATTTTCTTTCTCTCAGCCTGACACATCACTTAGTTCTGTTCCAAGGATTTCGTTTTTCTAACACTTGTTAAATGCACAGATTTGTTTCTTAGTGCAGAAATTTTTTTGATAAAAAATCTAGATAAAAAACATAAACTAAATAGATGTGTATTTATATAATTTATATATTATAGTTATATAAATTGCATATTTGTATAATCCTGTACCAGGTTGCCAGATACAATTTTTTTTTTTTTTTTGCCAGATACATTTTTAGTGCATTGGGGAAATAATGGTTTCTTAGCATCTGATCTTATGGACTTTGCTTTCCAGCTATACTGGAATCTCTTGGGTGCAGCTATAAAGAGTCTGGAGAAAGGATATTCATTCCTTTTGAATTTGTTCAGAGACAATAAACACTATTTTCAAGTTCGAGCATCAAGAACTTGTACCTCTTTTCAAAATTGCAAAAAGTCATGAATTATCTTTAAAATTAACAATTCACATAAATGTTTTTTCTACCTGAAAATATGAATTCCAGAAAGATATTTTTATATTAATTCTTTTAAATGAATACTGTATTAATTGGCTGCACAGGGAAAGCTATCTTATCAAAAAGTTTTCCAGTAATTTGTCACTGAGAAAAAGTATGTATATACATGAAAAAAAAAAGGGAATCCAAGCCATGGAGAGAGAAAAATTACAGAAAACAGCTACACAAAGGCAAAACATTGACAGAAAAGAGTATGCTAGAAGATTATTTTCTTCTTTTGATGCAAAAGTCATATTAAATGTCATTATTTGTATACACTTATTCTTTCATCCGTGAAACTTGTTGAGCACCATCCTGTGCCAGGCATTGTGCTAACCCCTGTGGATATCATGTAAGATGGTATCAACTCTATCCTCCAGTTGCTCACAGTCAAGTAAGAAAGAAAAGATTATTAAGACACAAGTGTTATAATATGAATTTATATTTGTGCCTTAGCATACAGACTACAGCCTTTAATTCTGATTCGTCAGTGTTTCATGGTTATGGGCTGAGTCCAAAGAAGGTGAGGCTTTAGACTGGGTTAAAGAGTACATCAAACCACATGATCATCTCAACTGATGAAACACCCTCTAATGAAATAAGAACATTCAATAAACTAAGAATAGAAGGGAACTTCCTCAAAATGAAAAAGACCATTTATGGAAAACCCACAACTAACATACTCAATGGTGAAAGTCTGAAGGCCCTTCCCCTAAGATCAGGAACAAGACAAAATGCCCACTTCACCACTTCTATTCATTATAGTACTGGAAGTTAGAGCCAGGGCAATTAGGCAAGAAGAAAAAACCAGTATTCAAATCAAAAGCAAGAAGTAAAATTATCTCTGTTTACAAATGACATAATCTTCTAGCTATAAAATCCTACACAATCCATTTTTTAAAACTGTTAGTGCAAACCAATGAATTCAGCAGCAGTTTCAGAATACAAAATCAACAGGCAAAAATCAGTTGTATTTCTATGCACTAGCAATGAACATCCAAAAGGAAACCGGATTGGAAAAAATTCACTTACAACAGCAAACAATGGAATAAATTCAATAAAAGAGGCACACAACTTGTATGCTGAAGACTATGAAACATTTCTTTCAAAATTAAAGAAGACCTAAACAAATTCTAAAAATCTCTTGTGCGTGGACTGGAAGACTTAGTTGACTAAAGGGTGAATTATGACCCTTAATGGGGAAGTTATTCAGCATTTTGATTATGAGAAATGTGAATATATTAAGATGGCAAAGGTAAAGCAAGATGTAACGTGAATTTCAATAAAAAGTTACTGTGAAAATGGTAATGCTTTTATTTCCCATTTTATTTAGGAATGACTAAGAGAAAATACACTACATTTTATAGGGAAAAAAGAGTATCTTAATACATAAATGAAGGTCTAAAGGCAAAGAGTAATACTGACATGATACAAAGGTTATTTTTTGCTGATACAAAGGCTATTTTTTTGCTGATTTTTACAAATTTTTGACTGTGATAGCTTAAGTGTTAGACATATAGAAAAATTACCTCTCCTGCTTTCCCGCCACAGCTAAACTTCAAGAAGTCTATACCCATATTCCTCACTTCCTTAGCTTACATTTATTCCTCAGTCTACTGTCAGTCAGCCCAATTTTTATGAATGAAGTTGCTGTTGTTAAGTCAAAGAAGCCAACACATGACTAAATCATCTCCTGTGAACTCTGCTGCATTGGCATGCTTAGACAACCCATCCTTCTTGAAATGTTCTCTTTCTTTGGTCTCTGACACGACTCTTTCCTGGTTTCCTTTATCCTTCTATGATGACTTCTTCCCAACCTCCTTTGCTGTCTTATTCTCCTCTACCCAGCCATTAACTGGTGGGTAGAAGTTCTCAGGAGTTGGTCATAGCCCTTCTTCTCCTGTCATTCTCCTTTCTTCTAGAAGAGCTCACCACATCTATGACACATATGCCAATGATTCCCACCCCCTCAAGACCTTTTCTCCAGATCGCAAGCACAAATAACCAAATGTTTCTCAGCCTCTCAGTATGAATGTCTCAAATATTCTTCAAACTAACCATGTCCAAATAATCACCCTCTTAATCAAACATCATCCTCTTCCAATGCTCCTATCTTAATAAATTATCATTCATCCAAATGCACAAGTCAGAAACTTAGTAACATTCTTTTTTTTTTTTTTTTTTGCGGTACGTGGGCCTCCCACTGTTGTGGCCTCTCCCGTTGCGGAGCACAGGCTCCGGACACGCAGGCCCAGTGGCCATGGCTCACAGGCCCAGCTGCTCTGCGGCATGTGGGATCTTCCCGGACTGGGGCACGAACGCATGTCCCCTGCATCGGCAGGCGGACTCTCAACCACTGTGCCACCAGGGAAGCCCATCTTAACATCTACCTTTTATTAACCCCCTTTATCCATTTCTTCACCAAAGAATGTCAATTATTACCTCCTAAGTATTTCTTAGATCTCTATTTCTATCTGTACTGTCGAAACTCTAGTCCAAATTGTCAGCATCTCTCTCCTGGATTGTTATAAAAACTTTGTAACTATTCCAACTACAAAATGTTGCCCTCTAGAATCTGAAAAAATACTGGGTGGAAAGTCTTTAGTCCTCAAATCTGTGAAGGAAGCACAGTAAACTCTTACGTTTCCAGGGTACCTGTAGAAATATTATCGAACGCAAGTCCGAGTGCCCAGCACACACTGCGGCCAAACAATACCAAAACGTCGGAGTTTGGAGCAGAGAAAGGTTTATTGCAGGGCCATGCAAGGAGACTGGTGGCTATGCCTTAAAAACCCTGGACACCTGGAAAGCTTTCAGCAAAGCCCTTTTATAGCCCTTTTATAGGGAGGGGCATGGTTAGTTGTTACAAACTTCTTGGTGTTAGATCCTTTGTTCTTGAGGCCAGGTCACTGTGTTCTTATAAACCTTCATCGAAACAAATGTTATTCTCTGTTCTGACAAGAAAGGGCAAGGTCCCAAGGCTCAACTTTCACCCTCCGAGGTCCAGGCCCTGGCTTATAGGAGGGGGTCCCTGCGCGGGCCAGTTACCCTGCCCAGGAGCTTTCATCCAGCACCCAGTCTGAATCCTCCCGCCAGCGCCCAGGCCTGGGTGAGGGGGCAGATCTCAGCTGGCAGCACCCTCAGGGCCAGGTCCCCAGACTCTGCCCAGCCATCATCAATGAGGGAGCCAGGCGGCCAGGACCCAGCCGGCCCGGACCCAAGCCGGCCCTCAGGCTTTTCATTTAACCTGGAGAGAATCATTTGTATACGATCGACAGGAATACGTGCTGCAGCAAATGCCCATCAGGTGAATCCCCAGCTCACAGCAATTGCCCTTCTTTGAGAAGAGCCCAACCACAGAGGTGGACCTGAACTAATGGCCTGCAATGTCCGTGCAACTTAACCCTGGCCTCTGGCCACCTCCTAGGGGGAGACAACTGATCTAAGCTGCACCAACTTTTGAAACTTGAATGGAGAGACTGAAGCAGGTTGAAACTGTTACCTCAAAGGCAGTGTCCATATACTCCAGTTGCTGAGGCCTCCATGGACTGCGACCCATGAAGACCGCCCGCCGCCATTAGGTTGCAGACGTTGGGATGGGGGAGGGGTTCGCTGCTGCTTCGCTGCTTCAAGGTCTGGGCCTGGCTAGCAGGCGGCTGCGGTGAGGGCTCTGGGGCTCTGCGGGACCCAGCCCTCAGCCTGTCCCAGGCCCTGCAACCGCCTCTCACCTCTCACGACACTCTCTGCCGCGAGCACCACTGCGAGCTGACTGTTGGCTCAGGATCTCGCGATAACGGTCGTGCTAACGGGCAGGCCAAATGCTCTGCTCCTATTACAGAAATGATGATAATTATTCAAATACACAACAAAACATTTATCCACATTACACATTATCATTAATAAGCACCATCCCTTGTTTAGTAAAGAGTAAAAGGTTTGAAAATTGGTGGACAAAAAGGCGATGACAAGCACTATTTCCATTCTGCTACATCTCCTGCTCTATATCTGACCTTTCAAAACCAGAGTAACCAATTTGACTTTTCTCCTTCAGTCTTTCCCAGATTATTCTGGGGTCATCGGAAAGCCTGGGAAGGCTCTGATGTATTTCTCCAATAAGGGTAAGAAAGTCTTTCATATGAAGATGTTCATCTATTTTCTCTTGGAGTAGAAGTGACTCCAGTAAAGTCTTCTTCTGTTTCAGGAAGGCAGATTGGGCCAGTTCTGCTCTTTTCCTGTTACAGTTGGGACACCGAGAAGAAATGTGTTGCTTAGCTGTTACCACCTCGTTGGGTGTTGTCCTCATGTTTTTAAAATAGATTCTGTTCAAAAGCTCATCGGGGACAGTACAGTTTAAGGCATCTACCTCTGGAGCCTCTGCATCCGATCCAAGCTGCAGCTTTTTATGTCTGCTGCTCTTTTTCCCCTTAGAGGTCCCACTATGATGGATTAGGTTTATCTTAACGGTGCAGAAAGACTGCAGAGCATTCAATTCTTCTAGGGATGCCTGAGTGATTTCTGTTTCAGGTTTAGTGTCTGGTTGGTACTGGCCAGAGTTCATTTCCTTGCCCTTGAGGTTGTTGATCCATTTTCTGCTCAACTTCTTTTCATTATTTTTGAAGTGTGAAAACTCAGATTGGTTGTCTCCATATTGCAAGCGTGGAGTCGGTGTTCCACTCTCGGATTTACTCCCAGAGGCATAGGACCAGGGCTGCAGTCCTCCAGAGGAACTGAATGAACTGGAACTCTGTACCTCAACAGTAAAGGACTCAAAGGTCTCCTTAGAAAAGTCTGCCATAGTCCCGATGTCTGTCTGGGTCAATTTCCCCTGCTTCTCTGAATCTCGGGCTTCTAGGCGGATGGCCATCACATTGCATCAGGCTCTGCTCCTCATCTGCTTTGCGGTGGTCAAGATTGCCTCAGGAACTAGTCAGTCCTGAACCCCTGGGGGATGGGTTTTGGAGCTGACCGTTCCGTAAGGAAACGCTTCCGGGCAACGCCTTCCCGCTGCCTTGGCAACCAGGGGCGGTCATGCGCAGTAGGTCGCTGAGGCGCCTCGCTCCTCCCCTTCCCCGCCCTCCCCAGAATCGACTCTGCCTGCATTGTTCCTGTTGGGTTGTCGGCGCCGCCCTCTCCGTTAGGTCTCCGGAGTCTTCTCTTTAGTGCTATTTTAGTACAAAATCTAATAATCCTCCAGAGAAAGTTGCAAACTCCCCTTCCCCAGGGGTCAAAAAATTGTACATGTGTGTGAGGGCAACAGGGAAAGGCGGCCTCTGACTAATCTGAGAGTGAAAAAAAAAAAAAAAAACCCAAACAAAAAAACATCCGGCTGGCCACAAAACGTATCTGCCAATCAGATAGCCAAGAGGTCATCTAATCGTAAACCGCGTCTTAGGATAAAATTCGAAATTCTGAAACCATCGTGTAAGACTCCTGAGTGGCACGGCTCCTATGTATCATTTCTCCAGCCTCATCTTGCACAGCTTTTTGTGCTATAGCATTTTGGAACACTTTGCAGTTTTCCCAGTCACAGTTCCTCAGGTCTTTGTTCAGGCAGTGGCTCTCTGAATGGCACTTCAACACTCCTCTTCCCTCTTCGTAAGGTTAATTACTGCTCCTCTTTCAAGTCCCATTTTTTCAGAAAGTGCTTCATACCCATCCCTGCCCCCAAACACTTTACAGCACAGCCTTTCTTTCCGGGTTTGCAACTGTGTTTTATGCATATTTGAGAATGCCTTCCACATCGCGCGCAGATTAAAAACCCGGTGAAAGCAGAAATCCTGTCAGTGTTATCCAGCAGTCAGCAGGTACCTGATACATAGAAGGTGCTCGATAAATCTCTGTTGAGTAAATGTGTTGAATGGTTATGGAAACAGAAGTAAGTATTTACCTTACACAGGTCCGCGCCTGGATCTTGTGGAATAAGTACTACAAGTTCAAGGAACTTCAGTCTTTTCCTGAACGCCCCAAATTAGGCTGCTACTCATAATACATCCTTTTACAACAGACTTTTTAAAAATATGGTAGAGTTTTATTAACTATTCTCAGAAATTATAAAATGTTAACTCTGAAGGTTGACTTTTTCTAGATCTTAATAAATATCTGAGTCTAGCTCTTAGTAAATATCTGAGATAATTTCAAGAGAATGGGTTTCCTTGCTCATTTCCTTCTCTGTGTGTGGGGGTAGTAGCGGTGTGTGTGGGGGGGGTGTTATTCGAGTCTAGCCAGATATATTTAATGTTATTCCCAAAGTGCTCACTTTGGCAAAGAGTCAAAAGTCCGAAATGTTCGAAAAGCATCTCTCAAATATGAGCCAGCTTCATATTGAAGAGATTCCAACTTCATTTATTCCACTCAAATCACATTTTATCCTATAATATTAATCTTTAAAAACAGGTAATAGATAATTTGTGGTTAATTCCAATTAATTTCCAGTTCAAGGTTAAAGATTTTCATTTTTAATTTTTGTTTCAAAAGTATCCGTCATTCCCTGAAATATTTACACATTCATATTTACACACAATTCACTATAGCACACATTTTCCCCAAAACATTGAGCAAGGGAGCTGTGCTTTAAAGTATATTCATATCTAGTAATATACTAAATATCTGGAGTAATCTGTCTTTTAAATTTTTTAAAATATACTGTTATAAATACCTCGATTTTATAAAAATAACTTTATCCTAGAAGCAAGTAAATTTGCTAAATTAACTAATTTCTTTGTAATAACCAGCTGGACCCAGTAAACTTCAACATTCTAATATGTCTATTATCTAAGGAAGTAAAATAGCTCAACAGTACTATCATTATCAAAAATGACTCATGACGACAGAAGTCAGTTTGATTTTAAACAGAAACTATTACTCTTTGTATAAACCTATTCTCTTTACTTTTCAACTCTATCACAGAATAAAGCTTAAAGGTGACACTACTTAAAATCCACACTCTTGTTGTCAGTTTTCTATATGTGAAATATAAATAATATTTTCCTATTCTCTTTCTTGTATATGAGAATTGTCAGTGATATATATGTGAAAAGAAAATCTCAGAACATTCCTTAAGCAGTACTGGCTATATATATATATATATATATATATATACACACATATATATATTCCATATTATTTAGAAATCCTTAAGAGAATTGTGAACAAGTGTGTTGTCTTAAACTAATTTTTTTACTTTAGATGTTTCAAGTGAGAGAAAAAAACAAAAACAAAAACCAGGAATATATAAAGGGGAAAAGGGAGTAGGGAATTGCAACTTTCCATCTTATCTAAACTCTTTTTACTATCCCAATGGATCCAAGTCACTCCTACTCACTATACTGAAAGCAGATTTTATCAAGCTTTACAGGAAAAAGAAAGTAGTATGTCATTTTAAACATTTTTTTGTTTTTATCAGGAAAAGAAAGATCGAGGAATTAACAGGAAACATTTATAGCTGTCCCAGAAAATTCATAGAAATATTTCAGTGTTTCAATAACTTTGTTATATAATCACTTCTTTGTTTAGCAAATACCCATGAAGTTCAGAATAGTGTTTTGCAAAACTGAAATTATCTAAAACTAAACTTAACTAAAACTAAAAAAAAATTATAAAAAAGAATTATCCAATCAGCATCCACATGTGTCAAGAACATGCTGCATTTTAATTTTCTGTTATTAATGTTATCTTTTTTACAAGTTCTCACTCATTTTAGTAGCTGTGGAAAACCATTAACCTGATAATTAAGCATATCCCAGGTATTCCCATGTTAGCCTCATTTTGTCAAATCTTCAGTCATATGACTTAATATGACTCTCTAACAGAACTATTCCTTCCTTCCCTCTCCTCCTTCCCAAGACAGTGCTTTGTAGAAAGGAAATCTTTATTATCTTTGGGACAGTTAGTGTAGGAGGCCTTAACTTTGTCCAAATCTTTTTGTTGGTCTCCACGGCATGGTGCAGGTGGTCCCTGGATGTGTGCTGTTTTCCACCAAGGCACAGTTAGTCTGGTTCCTTCCAGGATCCTGACACAATCCTAGGCTACTGGAACTCGTCAAACCCTCTCCCGGCTCTATTGCCTGTATCTTGACACCCACAGGTATGCTTCTTTCAAAGACCTGCTGAGATGTGATAGAGGAAAAGGGGAATGTGGTCTGGTACACACAGCATAGCCTAGAACCCTTGCAACCTGGTCATCACTCAGGCGACTTCCTGTGGTCAGCCCCTCCTCCAGAAATCTCAAGCATCTTGACATCTCTTAGGGGCTGCTTGGAACGCTGGGGTCTTTAGAAGCC